GTACACGTTTAATCCAGATCAAGGATTTAATCGCGTTTAGTACCATAGCTAAATATGGTACTAAACGCGATTAAACCCTTAATCTGGATTAAACATGTACTGTGCATACGGGCGTTAGAGGAAGAAAATGTTTCCCTTTAACGATATATATTAGATTCGATTAGATTAGATTAGGAGTTGGACGTTATTTGTCCTTGTCCACCGCGACCTTTTCAGATCTGTTGTGGGACTCCGTTTGTTTTAGAGTATGTCGTCTAGCCTGGTCTTTTTTATTAGACTTAGTAGCTTTGACAGTGGCTCCCGCATGTAATTGCATGCAATTGGCGTTTCTTCGCCCAATGTTAGAAACCTCATTCCAGCCAAGCCTTCACATTGGCACAGGACGTGGAATGATGTTTCCTCTTCTTCTTCACAGAACCTGCACAAAGTTGCTTCTTCTGCTGGATTTATGACACTCATGTGCCTTTTGAGGCGACAGTGTCCAGTAAGAAGGCCTACTGTTATCCTAACGATTTGACGTTTTTGATCCAGTAGGTCTTTCGTAAACTTGGCCGATGGTTCCTTGATGAACTGTTTGGCCTGTCTTAGTCTTGGATAGTTGTTCCACCATTCCTGAGACTCTTTTTGCATCCATTGTTTAATGGATGCCTTGCACAATGCCTTAGCAACTCCACAGAAGAGTTCAGGGCGTGTCATAGCCTTATCTGAGCCTTCTCGGGCTAATTCGTCGGCCTTTTCGTTGCCCTGATATCCCACATGGCCTGGAACACAGGCTATAAGGTCACCTTATTTTGACTACTTAGCTCTGTCAGGTCTTCTAGACAGTCTTTCACCAGTCGTGATTTGATTTCTGGTGAGAGAATTGCCTTTAGAGCTGCTTGGCTATCAGAGTATATGGCAATAGTTTTGCCTGATACTTGCTGATTTAATATTTCTCTTGCACAGTGTTGTATGGCTATTAGCTCAGCCTGGAACACTGTTGCATATTTTCCTAAGCTTAGTGAAATCGTTGTTTTCGACTTAGGTCCATAGATTCCAGCACCGGCTCCTTCCTTGGTTTTTGAACCGTCTGTGTACCAGACGAGTTCAGCCTGTACGGGAGGTCCCTGTTTCCAGGATTCTCGGGCTGGTATTTGAATTTGAAAATTTCTTTCAAATTTGTTTGTGGTAATGGCTCTATTAGTAGGCATAGCTAGAATATTATCCCTTTTTACTTGCTGATATAGCCTTGTGTGGTCGGCGCTATGTAGTTGGCTTATTGGGTTTTGTCTCTGCATTAGCCTGTGAATAGCTGACCTGCTCTCTCCTTGTATGAAGATGTGCAATGGCGTGAGATTTAGTAATACCTCCATTGCTGCGGTCGGCGTAGTGCGCATGGCCCCAGTATCACTTAGACAGGCAAGCCGCTGAATGCTAGTGAGTTGGGCTATTGCACTTGCCTGCGCAGTTTTGGTTACCCACGCCACTGCGCCATAGGTTATCATGGGTCTTGTTACCCTTGTGTATAACCATAAGGTCATTTTGGGGTTTAGACCCCAGTTTTTCCCACATATTCTTCTACAGCTTACGAGAGCTATTGTAGCTTTATGTGTGAGTTTTTGGAGACGTTGATTCCATGTCAGCCTTTGGTCAAATATGACTCCGAGGTATTTGGCTTCTGTGACGAATGGGATAACTGTGCTGTTTGGTACTAGTGGTCTTAGACCTGTGAGTACCCGTTTTTTTTGTGAATGGTACAACTGTTGTTTTTTGTGCGTTGATGGACAATTGTTCCTTTTTGCACCAGTTGTTCACTATGTTTAGAGCTGTTTGAGATCGCGTCGAAACTGTACCTGCAAATCGCCCCCTGACGATGATTGCTAGGTCGTCTGCGTATCCTAGGCACTGGTAGTTTTCTTTGGATAATATTTTGAGTAAGTCGTCCAAAAGAACTGACCACAGCATTGGAGATAGTATTCCTCCTTGTGGGCAGCCCCGTGTAACTTTTGCCTGTATGGTTGCCTTTCCTAGAGTGGATAAAATAATCCTGTTCTCTAGACAGGCAGTGATCCATTGGCATATTGTTACTGGGACGTTTCTCCCTTCTAGAGCCTTGGTTATTGACCTGTTTGAGGCATTGTTGAAGGCTCCTTCAATATCTAAGAAAGTGGCTATTGCGATTTCTTTGTCATCTATTGACTTTGAAAGCAGCCTGTTTTGATCGTCCAGCGCTAGGTCAGTTGACTTTCCTGGCTGGTATGCATATTGGTTTGGATGGAGCAGATTTATTTTTAGTATATCGTCCCTGATATACCTATCTATTAATCTTTCTAGTGTTTTAAGTAGGAAGGAGGATAAGCTTATGGGGCGATATGACTTTGGCATTTGGTCTGACCCTACCATATTTGGCAAGGTAGGCTACTTTCGCCTTTTGCCATATTGCTGGGATATATCTGAAGATTTTGCATAAATGTGGCATTAACACATCTTTTCCCTTCTGGAGCAGAATTGGATATATTCCATCCGGCCCCAATTTGTATGCCTTGAATTTGTTGATAGCCCAACTAATCCTGTGTGGTCTTGTGATTTCTTAGGCCAGCTTCCAGTCTATTGGAGTTGGTCTGATCCCCTTGTGACTGTAGCTCTTTTGGTCTCCTGAGTCTAGTCCTGTTAGGATAATTGAGGCCGGAAAGTGCACCTTAGTTAGTATCTCCAGACTATCCTCTAGTGTCGTGGTGTAGGTATCATCCTCTTTTTTGAGGAATCCCACTTGACTAGATGTACTGTCTTTGGCTATAACTCTATGGATTCTAGCGCTGGCGGTGGTCTCTGAAACCTCTTCGCAGAACTTCCTCCATGAGTTTCTTTTAGTCTTGTGTGGATTTGGCTCTGTTGAATAGCCTTCGCACCTCGCCTCTAAGGCTATCTAGGTGTTTATTCCACCAGACTGTTTTTCTCGTTTGGCATCTCTCTTTTTCGGGATAGTTTTCTTGGTAGGCATCAGTAATTGCCTTGTTTACCAAGTCTACTGTCCTTTCGAGTGTTTTGTTTCTCGTACATTGGTGGTTTCCTCCTTGAGAGACTCCTCGAGGGATTTTATGTACCCTTCCCAATTCGTCTCTCTCGGATTTCTAAACCTGTCTGCTGTACGAGTTGGACATTGTATATGGAATCGGATATGTCTGTGATCTGAACACGATGGTTTATCGGACACATGCCAGGCCCTGATTTGGTCATTTGTGCCTCTCGAACACATGGTCATATCTAGAACTTCTTTTCGGTTGGCAGTGACAAAAGTTGGTTTGTTGCCTTTATTGGCAATTTCTAACCCTTCACCTAGAATGAATTGTAATAGTGACTCACCTCTTGGATTGATATATATATTTGAATTTGTTCTGAAGAACTTCAAGGGCAGACAAAATTAGCGCTGTCATGCCTTAAGGCGGGTACAAATCTCGTACGTGTATGAGGCAAGCCGAGGACGCATGAGCATGTAGATGTGGACGGGGTTCTGAAGCGCGGCAAATGTGTGCCATGCGGCCTCGCCGCGATCTGTTTCTTAACGGCACGTCAAAGGGAGGAAATGTGCAGTACGTACTCAGTCTGGACGTGTAATTTGTACCATACAGAATTGAACAGATTATAGCGAGTTTTCAAAGTATATTTTGCATGGATTTAAGTGAGAAAAACATTTTGCTTTTCCAGGATTTAAATAATCAGCGAGATATATTATGGAGAGTAAGACATCAATTCTATCACAACAATAAAAAAGAAGATGCTTGGCATGTCAGAGCATGCTCTAAGCTTGGCATGAAATCGGCCATCAATTCCTTCTTTTCCTTTTTTCTTCAATGTGTCAAAATAAAATGATAAAATAGACATGTCATCTTCATCCTCCATTTTGTTTTAGTTTTATGACTATTTTAGCTGTATGGTTTTGTGGTTGCGAATTCACTATATCAGTAGCGAAACGGTGCCTCGTGCGTTCACCATTCGTGTATCTAAAATGCGCCGCTCGAGGCATTCGGTTCGGCCTCGACTTGCCTCATACATGTACCTACGTGCTCAGATCTGTACCTGTTTTTATGTAATTTTTTTTTTCAATACCTTTGCTCAGGATTGGGATTGACACAGTTGCCATTTGGTAAAGTATAAGGTTTTTACATGCTTTTGGGATATATTTAATTTCGCTATCAGATGACGGTAAAAATTTGCAGTGGGCTCTGGGGCTATTACGATTTGATTATGTATGCGCCATGGATACAAATCCGAGTTGCGCAATGTATAAACTGGAACATTGAGATCAAAAGTGCCGAGGCAGAGTGAGCGAACTGATTTTTTAGCTATAAACTGTGCTTTAACTGTAACATAAGATTTCTGGCAGCACATACTGATTATAAAAATCTACTAATTTATATAATACATTGTTCTACCAAAAATGTTTATCATTTAGAACGACTTTTATATGAAGATTTTGTTCGTTTATGTAAACTATAAAAAACACTACATATATTTTCTACAAAAAATATTAAATTATCCTTAAATTTAAATAAAATGATATTAAATTCTGTAAATTAAAAAAAAAACACTTCTTTCACTTTTATTTAACTTTTATTTAAAGCTAAAAATGCATGTAAATAATGTTTTTTTTTTTCATGAAAATATAAAATTATTGGGAGATGAAAATATATTTGGGCAAAATGATAATAATCCCTATTTGGTAATAGTAGCTATGATTTCGCTATCTACAAGAACCCAAAAATAACAGAAAAAGAAAAAAGGGTGGCCTAGGAAAAAAAAAGTTACAAAAAATAGTAGAGGTGGAAGGGAAGAAGAATAGGGAACACATTAAAGAAGATGAAATTTATGACAGAAAATAAAAACGAATAGAAGAGATGGGTCATAAAATAGTCTCAAAAACAACCAAATTAAGGAGAGACAGACAGAGAAATATAGTGTAATATTTAAATTTTCCAAAAGTTATTATGTTTACAAATACACAAATTCAATTTTCCACTTACTTTGACCAATACCACTTTGCAACAGCTCCGGCAATTACCATGTATTGGATGCCGCTGATAAATTGAATACACCAATATGCTACGAAACTATTGAAGAAAAACGTTATGTCTATTATGATGTTTTGTTTGTAGTAAAAGTATCCGCTCATCAGTTCTGTCAGCGTACCAGCAGTGGAGATATAAAAGTGGAAAAACACTACCAGAATTAGAATAATGAGTCTGGCGCAGGAACTCTGTAAACAATTGTATAAAATAAGAGTAAATAAATTTATGTTTAATTGCAGGAAAAAAAATTTTTACGTAACGAATAGTTTTTGCAATAATCTTAACTCAGTCTATTATGCATTATAGTTAAATATCGAAATAATAGACAGTAATTTAATGTATTTAATGTCATGTGATTGCGCCAAAGTTTAGAATTTTTTTTGGAAATTACGGGAGAAGAGGTTTTGTTCAGTCGTGGGCATGTATTGCAATTGCATATATATATGACACCTTTGTCAGCCTTCTTCACACATTCTTGACATTAAATTACTGTCTATTATTTCGGTATTCAACGAAGTAAATTGGTGTATTGTAGTGTAGTTTAGAATCCATGTTATTCTACATATTCGGCTAAAATACAAAGTATTTTTTTTTTTAATTTAGAAAGGAGGTACTTCAGGGGTGGTCCCGTATCAATTTGGTCAAAATCTAATAATTGACCATTAGAAAATCCTCAAAATCTTTATTTTTTAGGTATGTTTAGTGGTAATTCTATACAACCTTGTCCGATTTCTATGATTCTTTTTTTGTTAGTAAAGGGGTAATTCAGAGGTGGTCCTCTTTAAATTTGCCAAGATGTGGTGATGACATCAGCACGATTTTGAAGTCGATTTTTTTAAATTAATTTTATAACTTGTTTATCGTTACAAATTCAAAACCACATCCTGACTACAATTAGGCATTTTAACGACCTGTTGCTATTGTTAGGGTAACTGATACATATATAGGGGCCAATATAAAAACCGATACACGTCATCAATCAGTTGTGAAGTCACAGCCTTGCAGTGTTGCCCAATCTTCAAAATAGTCTAAGAATGTAGAAATTTTTAAAACTATGTGGTTATATTTTTTTGGCTATGTTATTAGGAACAATTAATTTTAAATGTATAATGAATTCTATATAAAAGCCAATGGTCATTGATAATGTTTAAATTGAAGTTTTAGAAAAACACTGAATTTAGTAGTAATAAATTTTGCACAAGAGGTTTAAAATGACAAAAAAAGGTTAGGTTAAGGATGAAAACACAAACAAATTTTATTTAGACTTGATTTCATTTACAATAAAAAATAATTATGTTCAGTTAGTTTATGAACATCTATATTTAAAAGAAGTAACAATAATTAGAACAGTTAGATAATAAAATTAACAACATATGACATTTTAAAACTTAAATAATATTTAAGCTAAAATCAGTCAGAATAATCAGAACTAAAATCATCTCTATTTGGTGTTATAATAATGGGAGCAATCTCCAATCGGTCCAGTATATGCTCTCTTTCACACCATTTAATAAGTTCTTTTTCGGTGTGTCTTACACTGTTTGCCCACATTTGTGGGATAATGGTTCGGAGTGCTTCAGACCACATGTCTATACAATCTCTTTGTGTCTTTCCATCCCGACCAATGTGCCTGTTATAAAATTGTTTTGAAATACCCCAAATCAGTTCTATTGGATTAAAAATACAATGGTAAGAAGGAAGACGTAACACCTTATGTCCATACTGTTCAGCCAGCATATCAGCTACATATATTTTTGGTGGTTTATTACTAAAAAAATTAAATCATTTAAAAAATACAGAAAAAGTAGATTTCCATTACTCACCGTCTAACAAGGTTCAAAAGTTCAGCCTTAAACATAGTGACTGAATAAGATATGTTCTGATTCGATTCGTCAACCACTCTTCAATTTGAACCTTAGCCGAATTACTATTCGGTGTTTTGTGTGCCAATGTGCTATGGTATGAAGCATTGTCCATTACAATTAAAGATGGTTCATGCAGTCTTCAAAGCAATTGTTCTTCGAACAATTTTAAAAAATTTTCATTATTCATCTCACCGTGATAATCATATTCATTGCTTCTTTGAAGCAAATATGGCCTCGGCACCATCAATAAATCCATTTTCGTTTCCAGCATGAAGAATTATATATCTATAAAAAATATCAATATACAGTTAACATGTATATATTAATTAGTTTTTTTTTATTAACCTTTTACCATCAACTTTTGTACTAATTACACCTCTTTTATTGCTGTCTTGCCAAGAATGGTTTATGGTGCCATTTTGAAAAAACCAAGTCTCATCAATAAAAACAAACTGGTACAAATTTGTTTCCTTTTCTTTGGTATATTTTTTTTTAAATTCTGCCCGTTTCACGGCAATATCTGGAAGTTCCATAAGACCTCGCCTTGGTTTATATTTCTGCCATTTGAAACCTATTTCTAATAATAAGGTATGCAATGATGTGCGACGAACAACTCCTTCTCATTAAGTTTCACCAACAAAGAATCTAAACTTACATGCTCCTCTGAAATCATACATTAATTTGTAATTTTGTAATATTAATTTATATACGTATACACTTACTAGACTCGTACATGCTATAAATGACATCTCGAATACCACTGGTATTCAGAATTCTTGTGTTGGTAACTTTCTTTTGCCTAGGGCGCTTTTTTGGTGGTGACTTTAACACTGTTCTTTACAGCTTGTGAAATAGAACAGTAAAAAAATTGGGATTAAGTGCTTCTGCGACACGCTGAAACAAAATAATTATATTAATTTGACGGTGATACATTATTAATCAACTCACTTTTCTTACAGCTGTTAAAGGTAACAAAGGCCCATTATTATCACGTTCTTTCTCAAAATAATTTATTAGAGAAGCCACTAGTTCCTTGCAACGACTATTTAATTGTTTTGGCATTTTTCAATGAAAAAATACACAATAAACGAACATCACTATTAAATTCCTAATAAATTTGTTCTGAAAAGAACAATTTGTTAATAATTTAATCCAAAATACAAATAATTTGTTGAAAAGAAATCGATCGATGCAAAATAATACAAAACAAATAACAATTGACAACAATGTATTAAAATTGAAAGCTGACACATTTGATGTCAACTTTTATTATGAAATGCACTAGAAAGTATTCCGTTAATAATCTGCCTACAGTACATTTACTACTGTGATATGATAAAAAATACATTTTCAATATGCAATTTTATAAAAATGAACTACATGCGTCTAAATTTATTCATTTATTTGCAAAATAAAATTTAATTATTTTTATTAGTGTGTGGTACCAATGACGTCATCTTTGACTTGCATCGGTTTTTATATTGAATGCTCTATATCTAGTTATATAGATTGCTCAAAGCAGGTCCTTTGCGATTGGCTATATTACCTCCCAATCAAAATCGATTTTGCACAAATGTGTTTACAAATCAATATTCAGCCTTTGAATATAGTAAAAAAAATAATTACCTACATTTTTACTTTATGGCATAAGCTTATGTTTATTTTGAAAAATATGGATGATAAATCTATGTAACTGTCTATTTCATTGACCTTGTCAAATCACCAGGTACAGGGTTGCCATAATTTTGCTGTCAAAACCAACTGGTAGCCATTTTTTTGGAATGCCTTATACATAATTGGGCATTCCAAACTGAATGCCTACCAGTGGGCTTTGACGGGTTATGATATTGCAAAATTATGGCAACCCTGTAGACCTGGTGATTTGACAAGGTCAATGAAATAGATAGTTACATAGATTGATTATCCATATTTTTCAAAATAAACATAAGCGTATGCCTTGAAGTAACAATGTAAGCAATTATTTTTTTTAAATATCTAAAGGCTAAAAATTGGTTTTAAAATACATTTTTGCTAAACCGATTCAAATTAATAAATATTTGCCAGGCAATATGGCCGCTCGTAAACGACCAGCTTTGAGCAATCTATATAACTATATATGTATCGTTGACCCTGTTAATGACAACATGACAACAGGGTTGCCATATCTAAACTGTCATTACCCACTGGTAGCCATTTGGACAGGTCGTTGGAATGCCTAATACACAAACAAAAATTGGCGATATCTGACAATGTTATGCGCATTGTCAAATTAGTGTCAATGTAAACCAAACATTTTTAAATCAGATAATATTAGGTCATTATAATGACGTAAGCACCTTGACCACACTTGACTTGGTCACATTTCTAGTAACTGATTTTAAATCACCTATAACAACTTTCAAATACATCTGTTATTTCTAGTTCTAGACATATCACGAATACAATTACTCCAACTACTTCCCAATGGGTACAGTTTAAATTTTCTACAAGGCTTTAATACAATAAATCTAGCCGATACACGTTTTAACGTGCCTTGCCCTCTCGGTATTTTATTATCAGCAGGTATTTTTTATGATTTACTCGGTATACATAGAATTAAATTGGGAAAAAGCTTACCAAATTTACAGGAGACATTATTTGGTTGGATACTTACTGATATCTTGTCTCTGCTAAAACCAACAAATAATTATCACTTTTTTTATGTTTCCCTCAACTGAATTAACTAATAAACAACTCGATATATCTTTAACCAAATTTTTGCAATTTGATGAAATCGCCAAAACATCTTTTTTTCACCTGATGCATAACGTTGCGAGAAACATATTAGGCTTGTTCTGGTTTCTTCAAAATGTACTGCAAACCGTCCGAGATCCAGTAGAACAGTTGAATATCAAATTATGCGTCGCGTAAAACTTTTCAATTTTCCACTGGTCATCTAGTACTCGGACAGTTTTCAACATATTTCTGAAGAACCAGAACATACCTACCTATTACAAACGACGACACGCGATGAAAACAGAAGATTTATTGTAAAACTCTTATTTTTAATAAACCGTCAAATCTTGGTGATTCACTAACAACCGCTTTAAAACTATCCACTGAAAAACAATTTACGAAAGCACCACAACTCAAAACTGGTTTTAAACACGCTTTATTTATCGCCAATGATTCCACAAATGATGTAATTCTATACGCTTTAAAAAAACAACTCAAGTTACGTGTTGCTAAAACTGCTATATAGACAATAAATACTTCCTGTAAATAACTTTTATCTTAGCATACTTTTATAAATTTTCCTAGAAATAAACATAGATGTGGATTAA